ATATTAATTTTTTTGCTTTGCTGTTTTTGAATGTTTCTGGTTGTTTTATATTGTTTCAATGTAAGGATGCTCTATTTTTAAAAATTTGCATAAATGTACTTTATAATTATATGAAAAAAGTAATAAATATTAAGCAATTACTTGACGATTATATTAAAAATTGTCAACTAAATGTACTTATTATTTGACTTTTTATTGTTAAATTGTCAAATAAATTATCCCTTATGTTTCTCAGTTTTTAATCAAGTGTAAACTGAGAGTTTAAATGAAGCCTGCACATTTGAAGGTTAAAAACTATTCATGCCAAAAATAACTGATAAGTATGTATGTGTTGTGTAGTTACCGTTCAACTCAATTTCTAATTACACCATCCAAATTTTGAGTTCAAATAAAAGATCAAATCATTTTAATGGGTGGTTTCAATCAACAAGAAAGAATGAAGCATTTGGTTGAGGTAGATACTTATCAGTTATATTAATCACAAAGAAACCGGAAAAAATAAGTTATATTAATCCATAAAAGCGTCCTAGCTAGATAATCAAAATGGTTCTATATACTTTTAATAATTATATTATATTAAACTAATCAGTATTTATTTTCTTTTATAAAAATTGTTACCTTCAAAATTTTTATTTGGGTTAAGGTTCATCCAGCACCCTAAAGTATTTTTCAAGTGTGTCTAGCACCTTGAAATACTTTTTTCGCCTTACAGCTGGATGCGCAAAAAAACAAAATTTTATGTGCGAGACATACCTAAAAAAATACTTTAGGTTATTGAATGCATTTGAAAAATATCTCGAATGTTAGATGCATTTTAACCCTTTTTATTTTATCTTAAATAATTGTCACTTTAAGATGTTAAAGAAAATATTAATCATCCTGTTCATAAGTTTTATTATTTGTTAACTTCTAATTTGACTAGTAAAAATATGTAGGGCAGATAATTAATATAATCAGATATTTTAGATAATTGTAGTTAACTTTTTTATAATTTATTTCATTATTTAATTTTTATACGTCGCATTAAACAATAAGAATTTTTTATAAGCAACAATTATTATTTTAATATAGGGTAATTTTATATTTTATTTTAAAGCGGTGGGAAAATGTTACAGAAAATTCTTGAGCAGATAGTTTGGTTCAATAGCGGCCGCAAATTTGTTTTTGGACAAGGGATCATGCCACATTTCCTACTTTAGAGCTGCCACGTATTTAAGGGCCTTCTCGTGATGCCACGTGGCATTCGTTCTGCAAAGATCTCTCGCCACGTAGTCACAAGTATCGTTTTGTAAGTGCAAATCCCCTGCTTCGTTCTTATTCTGTACCACAATCTTGTGGCAGTTACGTGCCGTTATTTTATTGGATCAATCTCGCTCAACAAAAATTTTGCGGAAACTCACGATATTTTAAACAGTTCGATACATATAAATATAATCATGTTTTTTTTTTAATTTGGTTTTGGATGTTTTAATTGAGCACACACAAAAAAAATAAATAAATAAATGCATGCTCTTTAGTCTTTATAAATAATATTGTACTCCTCAACCTAGGATCTCATGGTGGATGAAATGGTTAATTTTTGATGAAGTATAATAATATTGTTTGATTTATGTAATATATTCCATTCAACTAGGCAGTTCTAAAAGAGGATAGTCTAAGGCTATGAGTAACAAGGGGGAATATGTTCGTGGGCTTGGCATTATATTTTATCTTGATGGAATTTTGGTTTTGGTTCTTATAATTTCAAATTGTGATTTTTGGTTCGTATAATTTTATGAGAACTTGATCTAAACTAATATAGTTAAGTATATAAATTAAAACCAAAACTTAAAAGCACATGAATCAAAACTAAAACTCATCTTATTATCTTTATAATTTTAATGAGTTTTGGGTGTTAGGCTAACCTGAATTGCATATCAGTTGAGGTAAATCCTGACCTAACCTGCCCTTATGCAACTTTAGATGGAGATATATGAACAAATTAAAGATGCATTTGTACGAGCTTAATCTTGACTTTTATTGCCTTCACACACAAGTTTCTGTCGAATCAGGATCAATTCAACAATTTGAATATTGCGTGAGTTGAGTTTTAAATAATAAGCAAAGCAAGTGAGAGCCTAAAGGAGGTTATTAAGTCGCAAGGTCTTTATATTGAACTTGGCATTGCTTGAGGAATTACAATGTCTTTTGTGATAATGACTAGACATTGACATTGTGATGAAGAAAGTTCACACATTGGAGAATCTTGCAAATATACATCTTCCCAACGCAGCGTTTTCAGAGTTTAGTTGCCATCCGTAGCTGAGATGATGGTGAGTATTATTATTGAATTTCGGTTATAAAAACGAAGATTATTGTGCCTCAAATTCCCATAGCCTATTGTGATTACTTTTATTTATTACCTTCGCATAAAATCTTTTCTGTCTATGATTGAGAATTCAAGAGATCATATAGTTATTTGCTGCGTTAATAATTTTTAACTTTTTAAGAAGCTTCATGTACATCAAGTTTTTCTTCTTCAGAGTGTTGAGATGATTATTGTAAACTATCTTTTATATTGAAATTTAATTTCTGATTCATTATATAATTTCTTTTCTTACACGATTTTCTACTGTTTTCTCATTTATTACTTCTCATTAAGATCAAAACTTTCAACCTTTTCTTTCAATTTTTTAAAATCTCACGACACGTGGTATTTTTAGGAAATGTTTATGTGATTAATGGAATATATATGAGTCGATCCTCCTAATGATTAAGTTTAATACCTATAATGAACGGTGCAGAAAAAACATGAGTATAAATGTATGTGTAGACGGTTAACACAGTATGGCTCACGGATGCTGCGTGCGCCGCGAAACATGGGATAAAAATTCTCTCCGCTCATAAAGGACTTACCGCAATTCTAACTGGATCGGGCTTGGGTTTGGAAGAACTCGCGATTGAATCGAAACGCATGGCGCGTGGGACACACGTTCGAGAATATTGGGCTAATTACTTTAGAATCATTTCATGATCTTCTTATATGTTATCCGATCTGTAAGTATCTGATCATTCTCAATTCTCAATTTTCTCCTCCTTTTTCTTTCTGGGGCTGTTTACCAATTAATTTTTCTCTGAAGATCTCTTTGTAATAAGTTGAAATTGAAGATGTTAAATGGAAATTTGGTTTCGAATTCGCTCAGATCCATGGTTATTAGTTTCGAATTATGATGGTCTAATTTGATTGATGTCGTTAAGATATTTTAGCTGATCGAAAACGAAGAAGAAGAAATATATAGCAAAAGATCTGGTCAGTTTAACCAGAAAGCAAAAGATTATGTCATATGTATCAAAACAAAGCAACCAAATTTTTAGAGTTTGAGCTAGAACAAATTAATTAGTTCAATTGGGGTTTTAATTTGCCGAAAAGAAAAAGGTTTTCTCAAGTTGGAGATAATTGGATCTGAAAAATTTGAGTAAATACTTAAGCCGCAGATCCATGAAATTAGGAGGTGAATTAAACTTAGTTATTTCTGGTCTGAATTACCTTTAATAAAAGTCACTAGCTAGAGGAGTTTGATAAATTAATTAGAAAGTTTGTTAGGTGAAATTTTTTTTTATTTTTTCAGAAAGTAAGACACAACATATTATACTAACTCCGGTACTAAATGTAAGAGCTAGTTTGACTTTTATTTTGATAATAAATATAAGACTTCAATTCATTTTGTTTTTAATATTTATCCATTTTTCTATGGTAGTCTTTTTAGTAATGGTAGTTCTACCTAATACATTTGATTAATAAGGGTATTTTGAAAAAAATAATATCTATTTATTACAAATAACTAATTAAATTAATTTTCTTAATCTACTTAAATTAGTCAATCAGTTCTTATATTAAAGAGTGGAGGTAGTATTATAAAACATTTTGAAAGTGATTGTAGTAAGTAGGGAGGGAGCGTTAAAAGTTTTTTAGATATTTGAATTGTTGTAGTTGCAAATGATTTATAAGCAAAGAAACATTTGTTTAAGAGAGGAATGAAATAGAGTTAATCTATGTATATGATTTACAAAACGCTATTTTTGTTTGATACATTCGAGATACATGTTGCAAGATCTTCAGACAAAAAAATTTTGTTGTAAGAATATGAACATGTAAAGTTCAAGTTGAGGGGGAAAAAAAACTTCCTTCAGTTTTAAACACATAAGAGACAGATGACTACCTTGCAGAGATTAAGAAAATTATTTAAATTAGTTGTTTAAAAAAATGTGTTGATTTCTCTAAAGTATTAATTTAATCATTTATGTTGGAAATGGAAACTACTACCTTAATTTTGGACAATCAACAAGGAGAGTTTAGCAAAAAGATTACAAATTTAATTGGAAGATAAAGCAGACTAAGATATTACATTTACCCAAAAAGAATTAGGATGAAAGAATACTAAGAGGAAGAATTCCCTAAAATAGTAATTTTTTAAATTATTTTTGAAAGTTTTCCTTCCTATTTTCCTCCTTTTTCCCTCCATCAAAATAACCTTAGAATTAAAACATACCCTCTATTGATACATTTAGGACTGGAATGAGTAAAAGTTATATAGACAAAGCTTGGAGAAAAAACAATAAGTAAACAGAAGATTTTTTTGCTTAGTTAATTCCAAATTACATATATCTGAAGTAGTTCGGTACTGAGCTCTAAAGCCACAAGAGCTTGCCTTCAACACAAGACCACTCTCAGACGTACACTTTTTTCTTTTTCTTTTTTTGCTTTTTGATTTTGACTCGGACGAAGGAACGCTCATCTTTTAGACATACCGACCCAGACAATATTTAATACTAACAGCTTAGACATTTATTTAACCTACACAAGCTTATAAAAACTAGACCCATATAACATCGTAGATTGTCAATAACACATTGATCCGTTGAAGAGTGCATTAAGGTGGATAGTGAAACTCATTGATCCATTGCTTCGATGAACTAACCTGTACCTCAGATTGTGTTCTTTTTTTTTTTTTTTGTGTCTTCTAAGGCTTCACTTTGAGAGTGTCTATGAACCTTCCCTTTGAAATGTCATTAGAGGATAGAAAGTTGAGATATTCCCTGAAGCTGAAGTCTTTGTAGGATTTTGTTCGTTGATCATCCACAAGTTTTGGGGCTGGACCCACCTTTGTGTCTATTCCCAAGCTGTGAAGACTTGCTATGGACAATCTCTTCGCTTCACAATTCACTGTTGCTCTGTGAATCACACTTTTGCAAAGTCCATTGCTTAGTATTTCCATTTGATCTCCCAGTTGCACCACTAAAGACCCTTCAACATATGGAACCCTAGCCCAATTGTTGTCCTTGTCCTTGATTTCAAGCCCGGGTCGGGTTTGGAGCAAGATCGTGATCAGCCCAAAATCCGAATGAGGCAGGATCCCTAAAGTGAGTCCGGGTTCTGGGCAAGCTGGGTAGCAGTTTACTGCTAGGACTTGGGAGCCTTCTTTGATTTCTTCTTCTAAGTAATTAGGGTTTAGCCCTAGGCTTTCAAAAATTAATTCAGCTAATTGTTTTTGTAGAACTTGCGTTTCCTGTGCATAGTTTCCCATTTTTTCCCTGTGCCCACATAGAGACGTTAGAGATAATTAATTAGCATTAATTTTATATATAGGCTAACAAATTAATATGTGTGTGTGGGGGGTATATTTTATTGTTTCAAATTCGTCATTTATCCTTGAAAACGTTAAACAATCTTTTTCCTAGAGACTTTGCTGTGAGTATAGCTAAAGAAATATGCAAAAATGCATAAGACGGCACATTTATATCACAAAAAGTCAAACCTATAAAAGACATTAATGATGACGGGGTATTAAAAGGTGATGGATGGATGGGAGTTATGCATTTGGCCCTTTTAGCATTAATTGAGAGAAAATAATAGCCCCCCACTTGTGACAATTCTGGTTCACACACTAAAATGGAATCCCCTCTATTTATCTAGGGAAACTGACAATTTAGGAGCACACAAGAATGTTAATACACTATCATATTAGAACATCATCAGTACTACTTAAATTCTATTCGACTACTCAAATTTCTAATATTCAAAGCTGATTTTTAAAAAAAAAAAAACCTGATAGTGTTAACATTTTTAATCAATCCATGTTGACCATTTTAGAGGATGCACACACACATATATGTATGATAATTAGAAGCATTCCTGTAAAACTTGGTTTGTTGTTGAGAATAATATTAGTAATTGTTTGATTAATAATTATTACTTACCTGTAAGTTGGTGGATTAGAAGGCCACAAATGGATCCAATCAGAGAGAGGATGTGAATAGTGTTTGATGAAGTCTCTCCAGCAGTAAACTTCATCCTTAACATGGTTAAAGCTTGTATCATACCTCACAGGTTTGTTCACATCATCAGAATATAACTTCATCTTTTCTTCACTCGGCAAGTTGAAGAACTGTCTCGCAGTTTCCTTTGCATCGTCCATTACATATTGATCAATCCCATGATTAATAACCTTAAAACACAACAAATCCACGTTAGCCTCATCGTATTTAGGTGTGCTGTATTAACGATATGCATGCATGCAGACAGAGACCTAGATTTAAATATTGTAGCTTCCATGTGGATATGTGTGGGGTATGCCTGACCCATTTACGGATGAAAATTTTCCTCGTCTCTGCACGTGGTGTATTGTGTCTGGTTCAAACTTGTACAGATGTAAATCTGGGCCCCATGCCGTTGAATGTAAATATGTACGAGAATTAAAACTCTAAGGATCATAGTATAACCACACAAATAGAGAAGTGCGTATACACACACACATACTGTTTTTGAGTTGGAGTATAAACTAAACTGTACCAGAAAGACACCAAGTTCTTTGCTGCAGGAAGCTATCTTGCGGATGGTTTGAGACCTAAGAGAAGGATCATGTAAAGAAGACAAGTCTATAATGGGAATGGTGGTGGAGATCTGAACATTAGGGTTTGGTCTCTGTGAAGCTGGAAAAACGTAACGCTCAGGTATGGAAGATACTCCTTGCTGATCAAGAGACATAACACAAGTAAAAGAAGACGAAGAAGAAGTATGATTTACTCTCTGAGTATTCTCCATATCGCTTTCTAAATATTGTGAGTGATGATCTGGTCAAGCACACACCAGAGCCTATTTATAAGCTCCTGTAGTGGGGGTGTGTATCACCTTCATATATATATCTGGTCAAGTCATGGATTCCTTTACTGGTACAATTACATTGTATGTTGAATAAATATGAAAGAGGGGCGCCAGAAGGGATAGAGACAATACAGTTGGAGAATATAAGGGAAGAGAATAAATGCAAAGAAAGTCACGCAGTGATGGAAGGAAGTTGAATAAATGAAACCAGAACATATTTTTTGAATATAATATTAGAGGATGAATTTGTACGAAGTTATATAGTTGTGGTACATATTCCTGCGTTAATCGCGTGTATATACATTTGACAGCAAGTGGGAAACTCATCAGATTGTAGGCGTTTCATAAAAGAAAAGCAAAGAAAAAAACGAATAAAAGAAATTCAAGTGGGTTGGATAAGATGATTCCTGTTTCCTTCTTCCTCTACCGAGTTAACACGACATGTTTTCTTAAGTCCACCGAAACTGAAAGCCGACATGATCCTTTGAAAAGGTATAGTTTGTCGTTTATTGTCATTAAAGAGGGGTTTATTTAATTTTCCCTATAACATATATGAATAAAATTTTTTATTCTCGAGAGTTTGATATGACGTATTTTTGAATTCTTGTTTCTTGTTTCTGTGGGCCGAAACTGGAACGGATTCTCTTCGTTCGGCGCTTGACGGACTCAACTCAGTGCAGCCATCGACGCTGCACTTTGTGACACGTGGCACAGACGGATTACGTGGTGTACGTTCATGCACCGTTTCATGAATTTGGGGGCAACAAAGTTTCCTTTTTCAAGGGGGTGATCGCAAAAAAGTTCATTTTCGTATGTATTATATTACACAACATGGAGAAAAAGAATTAAATTATAGACAAAATTTAGGACAAGTTTCCTTGGTGAATTTCTTTATAATCATGCTTGTTATTTTGTTATTGTTAATTGTTGATATGTGCTTGTAAATTCACTTATAAAGATCACTCGTTGTTTTGTTATTGTTAGTTGCTATAAGGTGATGTGCATGTGCAATTATAAATTTACCTATGAACTTAATTTAATATATATAAGTAATTTAACCCAAGTTTTGTCTTTAAACTATTTTGATTTACATGAGGACAAAACACGCTGATTTTATTTATGTTTTTCTTTTTTCAGTTGAAATTACTCTCATTTCTAACTTGGAATTGACCTCAATGCTCTTAAGCTGTACCATTAGAACTCATTTCTAGCAATTTTGCTGTAATTTCTATATTATTTTTATTTCATTTGCCGCCTTAAAAAAAAAAATCCCAATTTGATGTTGGTGCCACATGTCCTAAATTGGCAAGTTAGAGAGATTATGTGGCGATTTCATCTCACATGCACCGTACCGACTCACTGCCTCCTTTTCATATATATATATATATATATATATTTATATAACTCTACACTCTTAATTTCATTTCTTGGCTATGAGAAATAGCTTCACATAAACTTGTTCCCTGGCGTCTTGAATGAGAAGGTAAGAGAGAAGAAAAATATGAGAATGAAAACTTCCTCTCTTTCAATTAGATTTCTTCTCTCTCAATCTCAGTGAGAAAATTAAATATGAGCCTGGCCTCCTAACCCTGTGGGCTGCACAAGGTAAGTCCTTAAACATATAATTTGAAGTATAACATAGAACGTTAGATATTTTGTTAATAATATTTGGAATGTTTGAATTGTTATATTAGGTGTTCTAATATTGGGTTATAATAATAATTTAAATTATGAAAAGATCTTAAATACGGCCTGCTAATCATCAGTTGATTGAGTTTGTTAGGTTTAGAGTTAACTTAGTCATATTTAATTAATTAATTTAATAACCTATGATCGTTAGGTTGTTAAATGGAGGCAATTAAGCAGATTGGCTAAGCGTGGCGGTATAAAAGTGCTTTTACCCTTTTTTCGATTTTTAAAGTTCCCTTGATGGCAGAATTCACAATCACTTTGTATAGATATCACTATGCCTCATGCTAGTCAGAAGAATCTTCAATCTCTCTTCATTTAACTATTTTTCTGAGTATTTCTCTATGTTTCTTTCAGTTTTTTAATTAGCTCGAGATATTTTGAAGATTACTTCTTCAGATTTACCAGCATAGGGAGATACATTTGTAAGCCTTTCGATATTGTTCTAGATCTGTGGAATTTTAATTTCCATGGGTTGTCCATTATGAAATTAGATAAGAAAAAAGAACGGATAAACGAAAGAATAAGTAGAAAATGTCCCAATAACTTATTTATTTATAGCCAGAATACAAAATCCCATTTTGCCATAGAAATTTATCCACAGAAGCTATAGATATCCAAACGTTTTTGTTAGATTAATATCCACAGCTCCCATGTGAAAACTTTTGTGATAAAATTGAACATTGACCCTTATTTTATTTATAGCCAAAGTCCCAACAAACATGCCAATATTGAATTTCTTATCTTAAATTGGTATCAGAATAGCATCTTAACTTTGCAACAGATTCGTGAAAGTGGCTCTATCTCTATCATTCACTTACGTTGAACTCTTTAATTTCGTCTTAAAGAATTTCAGCCAGCCTCCGTAGGCACAAATGTAAAATATAGTTGTCCTAAACAGAGAAACTAATTAAGTTCCATTTCGATAACATTATTGTCAAGCTTAGTTAATACGAACCTGTCCACAGCTTGCTCATTGGTATCTTCACCAGTTAGTTTGATCAAATTTTGGTTTTGGTCCTTATACTTTCATAATTTTTGTGTGTGTGTGTGTGTAAGTTCAAAGAATGGTCTTCATAATTTTATACTTTTAACGAGTTCTTATTTTGATCCTATATTTAAACTTAGATTAAATGTATATGAAACTATAAGAATCAAAACCAATGATTTGAAACTATAAAAATTAAAACCAAAATTTGATCAAACTATAAGGCCAAACAATGATATTATGTGTCTATATATATATATAGAGAGAGAGAGAGAGACACACACACCTGAATTCGAAGGTATTTTTTCTCATAAGCTTGACGGGCTTTGGTAATTGAGGCAACTTAGTGCCTGTTTGCTAAAAAGTAACTTATAAGTGTGATAAGTCAGATTGTAAATTTAGAGGCTATTTGTTACAATTTTTGGATAATCTGATTTATGGTTCAAAAGCTGCTTTTTTAAGTACGATTGCAAAGCAACTAAACTTTACTTATGACTTATATAAAAGTAGACTTTTGAAATTAAAAAACATTTTTGCCCTTATACTTATGTTGTTCTTATGCTTCTCTCTATATATTCCTTGTGCTTCCTAATCAGTTTTAGTTATTTATTTTTAATATTATCTTAAGTAAAAATAATTTTTTAAAGTTTTTATAATATTTTTAATTTTTAATATTATTTTTCATTTTATATCTACAAAGATTATGCAGAATATGTTATTCAATTAATTATGTAATATTATTTGATTCACAAGTTTTCACATTACTATGATTTCTAATTTAAATATATTTTATTCATTAAATATAACTTCTTCCTATTATAGTAATTTAAAATTATTATATTTTGTAAATTTATATTTTTAATTATTTTTTATTATTTAATAAAAGTCATTCCCATCTTGGTCATTCTATAAACTAGACTTACTTATTCAATTATAATCCGAATAACTTTTTCACTTTACAAACTATCTTTTATAAAATTCAATCTAAATATAAATTACATCACCCAATCTAACTTTTATCTATTCTCACTTTTTAAAAAGTTAGATTGAAAGTAAGTTTTTTTTTTTTTTACTGCTAATCCAAATGAACCCTTAATAATAACATGGCCATAGAAGCATATTTTGTAAAAGATTGTCCTGTTATTATATTTTTCTTGTTAAGTTGTAAAACCTCACTCAGAGCACCCACTGCCTGAAAAATTATAAAATATTAGTTCCTATATTGATTTTATTGTTATTAAAAAATTTATTTGCTAATCCTTATATTAATTTTTCATAATTACAAATATTAGTTCCTATATTCATAATAATGTGAATAATGACTAAGCATATATAGGTTGTCACAAAATGCAAAATAAAAAAATATTTTTAAAATAAAATGATGAAATAAAATTTATTTATTATCTGTGTAATGAAAAATTATTATACTTATAATCGTCTTCTTTCATTTATATACAATATATTAATATGGATTGTTTTGATTTTATTTAGATTTACATGCATAGCCCTATCATTGATGATAAGGTAAAGCCGTAAAATTGATGAAAATGAGACAAAATATTAGTTGCGCATATGCCAAATGGAAAAAGATTGAAACTTATGCCATGCATGATTCAGTTAAAATAACACATAGAATCTTAAAATTTAAATTAATAGTTCATTCGAGTGGTCCACAAGTACTTTATATAAATATAAAACTCTGGTAAATATTAAGTTTAAAAAAGTGTGAAACTCATGTTGTAGCCATACAGTATTTTTTTTTTTTTATGGCCGACGCATCCATACAATATATATTTACTTGTGGGTTAATATTCTTTATATATGTGTGTGAATATCTAATTTTAGTTGGCGTATGGCTAACTACCATTTTATCTCAATTCTCGATCCTTTTTATGTGTAAATCATACTCATAAATTGACATCTTACATCATCAAAAGCCTTATATAAGTTCTATTTTATATGCCACTTGATCAAATGATGGGTGTTTAATTTCCAGCATTTGTAAATAGAGCAAACTCATATATACTTTATCAAAATTTAACCATGAACATATTTCTCTAATTAAAAAATTGACTAAAGTTTGATTTAAATGTTGTAAAGTTTCTTTGATATATATATATATATATATATATAGAAGTATTAGATAACAGCTTTTTTTTTTTAAACATAAAAAAATGAGGTAAATATTAAGTTAAAAAAATTGTGAAACTCCTGTACCCATAGAATGCACGGATTCATCCTTACTTGCAGGTTGCTGTTTATTCAAATATGTAAAAATCAAATTTCTCATACAATAAATTTGGCACCAATTAACTTGTAATTTAACGAACAAATATAAAAGGAAAAATATTTCATCTGTCCTTTTAATAATAAACCAACATACAGACAAAATAAAAGGCAGTAATAAAATGCCGAGAATTTGGATATGCAACAATTTTTTTGTAATAACCAGACTGGTCTTTGAACACGTTAATTCATTGGTTCAACTGTTCAAGCACAACAGATTTACAATTAATAGGTATTTTTTCCTCAATCCGTTAAAATATTGTATACAAATTAAATAAACTATTACTCATAAACTTAAGCACTAAACTTAGATCACCATTTTGGCCGCCAAAAAAAAAAAACGTAGATCACCATAGGTCCATTATCTACTGTTTTTTTTTTTTTTACCAGCTAGGTCGATTATCTAGTTAGCATTTGACTATTTAGTCGCTGTTGGTGAATCTCTCTCTCACTATCTCTCCCATTTTTATCTTTTAAAAAATTGAAACAAGAAATTAAAAAAAATCATACTACCTCCGATCTTTAATATAAGACCTCATTTGAGTTTTATTTTGATCCTAATTATAAGATCCCAATCCATTTTGTCTTTCATATTTGTGCATTTTTTCCCAAGGTAGTCCCTCTAATAATGGTAGTTCTAACCAATAAACTTGATTAGTAAGGATATTTTAGGAAAAATAATATTTATTTATTACAAATAACTAACTTAATTTATTTTTTTAATCTCTTCAAATTAGTTGACTAGCTCTTATAATTAGAATCAGAAGTAGTATGATAAAGTACAATATAACCTCAAGCAGATCAAAGCAAAGGATATTATAGTACATATCCATTTATTTTATTTATTTAGCACATCATTTATTATTTATTTATTTATTAAAGTGCCAATAATGGCAACGTAAAACCCCATAACTATTTAGGGTATGTTTGGATAGGTGTTTTTAAAAATTCAGTTGAAAAAGTTACAAATTGTTTGGATGATTAATAAAAAAGTTCATTTAGTTGTAAAATGACTGAAAATGGCATGAACTTTATTGAATAGTAGTGTTTGAAATTTTTTTGTTTTTAATGTGATAATAGTTTAAAAAATATGTAAAATTATTATGATAAAATATAAATAGTTTATTTGTGAAATTATAAAATAAAAATATTTGTTACGAAAAAATTTTTGAAAACAAATTGTAGATAATTAATTAAATATACATAATGGACAAACATGAACATAAATTAAAATTCATTTGGTCTGAATAAAAGCTTATTATGCTAACGAAAGAGATGAGGCAGAGGGAAAAATATGAGGGTAAATCTGGGATGTTCATTTTTAATAATTACCGTTTGAAACTGTAGTTTGAAAAGTCAGATTTTTTCCCGTTGAGTCCAATTGAGGTTGAAGGCCAGAAGTTAGTTAAAAAAGTTAACCTAGCCAAACAACAGTTTTTGTCCAACTCAGTTTGTAACCTTAGTTTCACCATTTCCAATGAGCTTTTGGTGTTTGTAACTGTAATCCAAACATGCTCTTAAAATGCTATCAGAATAGCATTTCTGCATCAGATTCAATAAGTGGCTGAAAGAGCACCGAAGAATCCTCTCTTTAATTTCGATGCTCTCTTTTCAAGACGACGAACTTTCTCGTCATAAAGAATTTGAGCCACCCTACAAAGATAAACGCGTAAAATCGTTATTACCATCAGAAGTTCAATTTCCATACACACAACCCTGTGGATGTGCCAATATTTGTCAATAAATTAAAACTAGTTTGCCATTAAAAGAAAAATCAAAACACAAGTTTTTTTTTTTTATTCGTACTTGTCCAGTGCTTCAGCATTGCTACCTTCACCAGTTTCCTCAGGAACAAAAGTATCCACATTCATCCTTTTAACTCGTTCCTTAAGCAAATTCTGTCCTGCCTCCTGCCTTTAAAAGTTTATCTATGTTTTCTTCTGAAGCATCATCCAAACCAATGCTTGGATCTAAATTGTATTCCTGCCCCCATATATAAGTGTCATACATTATATACATACATGATATGGCAATTTGTAGATGATTAGCCACCAATTACTTCGTCTGGTCATGTTTATGAGACCTTACCCATTGGTTCTTGGTACAAGACCCCTTATTTCTTTCATTCTTAGCTTAGATAATGGCAACTTTTGTACTTTCAGCAGTGACAACTGCACCGTTGAAAGTGAATTTTGTTTTGCAGTGAGAGTCTCATAACTAGAATTAGAGGAAGTAATGAACTGTGTTTAGTTAATTAATAGCTTAATTACTACTTTAGCAACTATTTATAAGAAACAACATATATATATAGTTAAAGTACCTGAATTCGAAGGTAGTTCTGTGGTTGGAATTTGAAAGCTGAGTTAATGTAATATTCATTCATGGTTGAAGATGCAGCTATCATCATAGTTAAAGTGCTTTTCTGCCAATCCCAAGCAGTCCAAGTGTGGTTAGCATCAAAACCAGTGGGAGTATTGACAAACCTATGTGTTACATGCATTTTCATAAATTTTTAGTGGGTTTTTGTCATTATTATTGGTCCTTAATTACATTATTTGAGTATAATTCATATTAAAGTGCTTTAACTTGAATTAGTGCATAATAGGGGTAAATTTGTCATAATTGTGATTGATTGATCTTTAAAGACAATTAATACTACCTTATTCTTGAATTTTGGTTGCAGGTGTTTGGGAGATTTAAAAATGAAAATGAAAATAAAAAAAGAGAAAAAATATAATAAAAAAATAATAATATAAAAGGCAACGTCTTGCTCCTACCCCAAAACTTTCAGATTCATCATCATCTTCATTCGGTCATGAGAGGAGGCGTGACGGGAGAGCAGACACGAGCGAGAGAGGACCAGGGGATTGCGTCAACGGAGGCGAAGAAGGACCAGAGGATTGCGACGGCGTGGCAGAATCTTCCATCATCAATATCGTCTTCATCTTCTTCTTGTCCTCCGTCTGGAATCAGCAGAGGCAGAACAGAGAAGGCAGAACGGAGAGAGCGAACAGAGGCAGACCAGAGACAGAGCAGCGACGCAACGAAGGATTAGACGGACTCGCCGGAAACTGCATACCTTCATTCTCAATCCACTGTCTTCATCGCAACTTCCTTATCTCCCATCAACCGAAGCCCATTCATCATCGTCATCCTCTCTTTTATCTTCCTTTGTGCCTTCTGCTATGGCTGTGATTATTGAAGCTTACGGTGGAGCTTCGGTGATGCAGAGGCTTAGCTAAATCCTTCAATTCTCTAGCACAGTGTTTATGACTTGAACTTGAAGCTTCAAAGGGGAGTTTCAGCTCTTCCAATCTTTACTTCTTTCATTGTAATTGTGATTTCTAGGTCTTAGAATGAATTTTACAATGTTTCAATGTGCTATGATAATTTATATTTGTATTGAGATTGGTTGTAGTTTGTCGGAATCTTTGATTAGTATTTGACATTATGCTATGATTAACTTTAATTTCTTTACATTGTACTTGGTTAGACTATATTTTGAAATTGTTGTGAATATTCAATGGTAATTCAAGGTGGTTTGGCTATTAAACTAAAAATGTTAATTACTTTTCTTTGATTTTTTTTGGCTAATTGTGTTGAAACAGTTTAATTGTGAATAATTAATATGCAAAGTGGCTTGGTATTGATTATTCTAATTAAACCGAGTCTAGATGGTGGCCCTTAGAGTCTTTTAAATTTAGCTAACTTCCAAATTAATTGAAGTAATGATAGCCTAAATCATTATGCTAGATGATTGCTTTTCCATTTGTCATCACTTATTAATTCTTTTTGTTTATTTCATTCATATCCATTTTATAAACTAAAAATCTAAAAATTACTTACTCATCTTGCATCCTTTCAAATTTTACCATTTAGTTAGTTAAAAAAAAAATCAATCCCTTTCCAAGTCAATTTTCTCTCTTTTGCATACTTAATTATTTAGGATTTCTTTTTAAAGGCTCTCTAAAGAGTATACGACCTGGATCGCGTATTATATTGTATTAATTCAATTAATTTTTGAAGTGGACCTAAAGCGACTAACTGTTTGTTCTTCAAGTATAATTTCCAGTTCCTAAGGGTAGCAAAATGATTTCTCTATTCTTGTATTCTTCTTGTCGGAACACCTCACTGACCGCAAGCCTTGCCTGAAATATTATAGTCAAAACAATACTTAATTAATTATGGACAAAATAATTAATGGATTGTTTACATGATTCCTCCTGTTTCTGCAGTTTATATTGTTTTTCTCTAATAGGACAAGATACCTATAGCAGAACTTACAGGAAGATGCCACACTTCCCATAAATTATAGACAGGGCATCTTAGTTGGCATATAATCTTTTGGTACATGTAAAAAAAGAGTCACAAACTAAGAGAGTGTTTTGGGTAAGATCAAAACCATAGTTTCAGAAATACTTTTACAGTGTACGAAGTAAATATGTGGAGAAGTTTGCCTCGATTTGCAGAAAAGTATTTTTGAGAAGTGCTTATTGGGCCTCCCAAACATCCCCTAAATATAAGTCAATATTAACATAATAAGCACTAGCCAGGAGTAATAAATAGTGAAGCTCATTATTTTAAGCACTAGCCAGAAGTAATAAATAGTGAAGCTCGTTATTTTTCTCATGTCAAAGGAATTCTAGACCTTTCAAAAGAATTTTGGATCATTCTTATGTGAGTTTTAACTTTGATTCTAAATATAAGACCTCAATCCACTTTGTCTTTCATATTTGTCTATTTTTTTAAAGTAGTCTTTGCAGTAATTACACATGTTAAAAGTCCCTCTCAAATACTAGTTCTAGCTAATATAAATTATCAGCAAGGGTATTTTAAGAAAGATAATACTTATTTATTACAAATAATGAACTTGACAAACTTACTTGATTTACTCGAATTAGTCAATTAGCTTTTATATTAAGGATGTATTTATCAGTAACATTAAATGGTGATAGAGCTCTAAATTAAATTACCGGCATAGATGCGATGAAAGGACCATCAACAAGATTAAATTCAGTATTTTGGTACTCGAAATATAGGGCGGAAACCCGCACGGTGCTGCTGATGTTCCAATACATGCGTTGAACAGTTTGACGTTTAACCGAGGAACATCCTTTATCTGCATCATTATATGTATAGAGTTAATTTAATGGCCAGTCTCAATAGGATTAGCTCGTTCAATAGCAATAGAATGACACACACACACATCTCAACAACCTTGAAGCTTGAGAATATAGTTGGTTGAAGAAGCTTGATGTCGAAGGAAGACATGTGGTTGTCTGGTTTATGAGTGTTTCACCCAACATCTCGGCCGCTATTTGCCGTAAATACGTCCTGCTAAACTTCGGACAGAAGATCCCCTTATAGCTGTTGTCAAGAAAACAAAGATACATCATTTCAACACTCAGTTATACTACCTTCGGTCCACAACATAAGTTTGGGTTGAGTAACTTGAGAAGATTAAGAAAATTAAATAAACTACTTTGAAGATTATATTTATCATTTTTTTAAAATTAATTTGCCCGTCTTATAAACTGATATATAGTCCATTGAAACATATACATATTTTAGAGAGATCATGTAATATATACTATAATTAAGTAATTGTTTAGTTTTCACAATTTTTTCAAATTAATCAACCAGATCTTATATTAAGGACCGGAGGTAGTACATATTACATATAAATTACTACCTTGGGTCCTTAATATAATAACTAATTGAAAATTCAATTTGGTCCTAAATATAAGACATCAATCCACTTTGTCTTCAATATTTATCGATTTTTCTCTAAGTAATAATTTCTATGGTAATTGCACATGTTATAAGGAGTCTTCAGTTAGTGGTAGTTTCAACGCAAATGATTGATAGGGGTATTTTAAGAAAGACAATATCAATTTATTACAAATAACTAATTTCATTAATTTTTTTTCCATATTTACAAATTAGTTATGTAGCTTTTATATTAACACCCAGGTGTAGGACTTTCAATAATACACGGTGGTTAAGGCAGATGGAAGGGGCTTGATTCCCCTGAAGATTCGAATCCTTTTTTAATTTATAACTACTAATATGATCAACAAGTTGCAAAACCAATCCAGCGACTCCCAAGTAAGACCAACAATAATATAATACTCAAATCTAACTGGCCAATATTGGATTTCAAATAGCGGTAGAAAAGAATTACTTTTCTCGAACAACTACTATAAGCATGTTTTAAACCAATAATCTTTGTTGGCGAAAACATATTACTACCTCCAATATTTAATACAAGAGTTAGTTGTATTAGAGAAAATTAAGAAAATTAGTTAAGTTAGTTATTTGAAATAGATAGATATTGTCTCTCTTAAAATACTTTTGCTAATCATATATATTATCTAGAACTACAATTTGACAAAACTTTTAACATGTGCAACTATTACAAAGACTACCTTAGGAAAAATGGATAAACATGATAGACAAAGTAAATTAGAGTCTTCTATTTGGGACCAAATTGAATGTGAAACTAGTTCTCATCACACAGTTAACTTCGACGGATGATCGGTAACATCATCAAATTATTTGAATTATACATAATCTGTTTTGATATTCTTTAACTAAAAGATAAGCCTATACGTACCATACTTCATTGAAGACGGAAGGACCATGGTCTCTGTAAAACTTGACAATTTCATCAGCAGAATAGGGAGGACGATGCTTGTTCTGAGGATCAGGGCCAGTAAGAATTGCAGTTATAATCCCTCCAGTGCTTGTCCCAGCAGCCACATCAAAATACTCTCCTATTTTTGCATTTGGGTTCCTTTTCTGAATTTGTTACTCAAACATAGATGTTTTACTGTTGTTTATGGAAATGAACACTTCTTTCTTTGTAAAATCTGAATAAATTATACAAAGATACACAAATAAATACCTGGAGGGAAGCTGCAAGCCGCTGAAGGATAACTCCAGGGAGAACCCCTTTCATACTTCCTCCATCTATGGCAAGGACTCTGATTTTTGCTTGTTCATCATCTTCCACGGCCATTGGTTGATTGGAGAATGAAACGAGTAACAAAAGGAACACAACTATTTTTGACATTTTTAGGAATTGATAAACACAACGTAAATGAGACTTTGGATATGGTAAGAGGTAACAGATCAGTTTGTAAGTTGAGTGGCCTTCGTTAATGACTTAGGGTTTATATAGAAATTTGATGAAGATGAGACAAAATATTAGTTACGCATAGGACAAATGGAAATTGAACATATGCTACACGTGACTGAGTTAAAAATACATACAAATATACAATTTAATCTAATGGCCTGTGAATTCATCATATATGTTAGTAAAAAACTCTATTTATTTTTCCCATTTAATCGTTCTTTTTGTCAGCAATTTAAATATTTCAAAATTTGTAATTAGAAAAGTATCTGTGCAGTGCACAAGATATGTTACTATAATTACGGACAAATATAGAGTTGGAAAATTTTTTTTGAAGCTGATCACTTAAGAAACTATGAGCCTGTTTGGTTGGGCTTATTTGGAGTGAAAAGTAGCTTATTTTTGCTGCAAGCCCGATTGCAAGGTAGTCACCCGTTTGGTTGGGTTTAACTTCAAAAGGAGCTTATATGTTTTAAGCTGTTAAGCCAGCGTTGGGGGAGAAGCTGCATTTTGTAGCTTATTTTGGAGCTTATTATGCTTTTTCACTGTTGCACGTGTCAGAGCTTTTTTTTCCCCCCCTGACTTCAGCTATATTAACACATTTCCTGAGTTTTTTTTTTCACATCTGACTCTCACACCTCTCCCACATCCTCCGTCATTTTTTTTTCACTTTTATATTTTTTTAATGTTTCACTTTATATTTAGATTACTCCTCTGATCCTAAATATAAGACTTTTTTTATAGTGTAAATCTTATCCTAAATATAAGACCTTTTTTGTAGTGTAATTACACTATAAAAAAGTTTTATATTTAGGACCAGAGGAATATTTTATATAATTTCTCTAAATTTTTAAAATTTAATTCACTCATTAAATTTAACTTCTTCATATTAAATTATTTTAATTTCATTGTATTATGTGAAATTATTTTTTAATCATATTTCATTATTTATTAAAACTCATACCCATTTTGGTCATTTTACAACCAAACTTACTTTTACTCAACCATAATCCAAACAATCTTTTACTAATCTCACTTTTGCAAACTAGCTTTTCTGAACTCCAATCCAAACATAATTCAGTTTATCCAATTTAGCTTTTACCCAACTTCACTTCTCCATAAGTTACTTTTCCAATCACTGATCTAAACAGACCATATATCGTTAGTTTTAATTTAATCAATTTTTTTCTGGTTATGATTACAGTATTGGCTTTGCATTATATTTAATGGCATGTTTGGTCGGATTACATGAAAGAGGATTACGTATAATCAAAATGAAAAGAGTTTATTTACATGGTGGTTGGACTTATGTAATATAGAGAATTACACTTGGTAATGCTAATTCTCTTACACAGAAATGGATGTATTAGGCTACACTATTTGGACGTATAAATGTGGATTACAATATAAAGAGTATTAAAAAAGATACTACTGGTTCTTAATATAAAACCTAGCTAGTTAACTAATTTGAAAAAAATTAAAAAAGTTATTAAATTACTTAATTATAACATACGTTAAATGATCTCTTTAAAATACTTCTGTGTATTATTAGATGATATATCAATTTATAAGTGAGGCAAATTAGTTAATAATATTAATGAACTACTAATGAAATTCTTATATCAAATTATATTTAAATTTAATTTAAAATTTTAAAGTTAATAATATAAACTGTTAATAATCAATACTTCACTGTTATAAAGAATTTTAAAACATTTAATTCAGATGTTAATCAAGCAAATAACTCTTGGGACATTGTGTCCAATGAAAACATAGACTAACCGACCAAAACACCACATGGAGTTAAAAGGGATCAAAAAAGTAAAAAGAAAAAGTAAGGGCATTCACTTGTTTATATAGAACAACATTTGATCAGGATGAGAACAAATATTAGTTAAGCATAGGCCAAGTGGAATATTTTTATTAAAATCAATTTGAAAAATAAATAAACGTTTAACCAATTACTTCGATATACATATAAATAATTTTATAACACTGAATTCACATTTTAATCAAGCAAAAACAACTGGGGAGAGGGTGTGAGAACGTACGCTAATAATTAAATAAAGTAAAAACATCCACCTCATCTGCAAGAAAATTATTATTTTTTAATTAGAGATAAATAAGAGCTTGCTCCATTTATAAATGCTGGAAATGGACCGTATCATTGATTGTCAGTATAGTTTACATATAGAATTGATCGAAATGAGACAAAGGGGATGTACCGCGTGGTGGGGTCCATTCTTGCGTGTCGCGACGAGGCTAGTTTCATTCATGCTTGCTACCTCCACGCTTCTTTTTTTTTTTTTTTGATAATAGCTACCTCCACGCTTCCCTCTCCTACTTTCTCACTTAACTTGCTAACTACTTTTAATTAACCTTTTCATCCATGCTCACTTTTTTTCCTCATCTCCTTCCTTATCATAAAATAAAATTAAAACACTCAATGACGGCCGCATCAATATTTAATGTTTTCCAACTTAATATTAAATAATCCTATTGAACTATTGGTGATGAAATGTTGAAATTGCGCCTATTTAGAATTAAGACTGCTTAGGAAATACTACCTCCGGTCCTAATTATAAGAGCTAGTTGACTAATTGATGAGATTAAGAAAATAAATTAACTTAATTGTTTGTCATAAATATGTATTGTCTTTCCTAAAATATCCTTATTAATCAAGTGTATTGGCCAAAACTACCATTATTAGAAGGACTACTTTGGAAAAAAATGTATAAATATGAGAGATAAAGTGGATTGGGGTCTTATATTTAGGACCAAAATAGAAGTCAAACAAGGTTTTATATTAAAAGCCAGAGGTAGTAATAAAAAAGAAAAATGATCAGCCACTCAATTGTTATTCGAACTTTCGAAGGGTGAATAAGGGGAAAATATTCCTAAACCCATTCAGCTATAGTAACTGTAAGCCTTAAACAGTTGAAACGAGAAATTAAAAGCACTAACACAATGCCTCAAGCTTTATTTATTTGCTGGTGCTTTATGCATAGCCAGCATGTGATGCAGTACAATACAATGTCAAGGACATCAAAGCAGAGGATATTATGGTACATATCCATTTATTTTTATTTATTTAGTACATTATTTATTTATTAAAGTGCCAATAATGGCAACACAAAAGCCCATAACTAAAATGCTATCGGAATAGCATTTCTGCATCAGATTCAATAAGTGGCTGAAAAAGCACCGAAGAATCCTCTCGTGAATTTCGATGCTCTCTTTCCAAGACGACGAACTTTCTCTTCATAAAGAATTTGAGCCAGCCTACAAAGAAAAACACATAAAATCGTTATTATCAGAAGTTCAATTTCCATGCGCAAAACTCTAATTTTTATCCATGTGGATGTACCTATATTTGTCAATAAATTAAAACTAGTTTACCATTAAAAAAAAAAGAATGAAAACACAAGTTTTTTGACGTGTGATACGTACTTGTCCAGAGCTTCAGCATTGGTGCCTTCACCAGTTTCCTCAGGAACAAAAGTGTCCACATTCATCCTTTTAACTGGTTCATTCAGCAAATCCTGTCCTGCCTGTACAAGTTTATCCATGTTTTCTTCTGAAGCATCAGCCGAACAAATACTTGGATCTAAATTGTATTCCTGCACCAAATATTAATGTTACACATACATATGTATGACATAGCAATTTGTAGATGATTAAGTACTATGGTTCCGTTTGGTTCGAAACATTAAGAGGTAAAAATTGATATTAGAAATGAATTGAAAAAGTTCAACTAAAAGACTATTTGATATGAGGGGTTGCTTGTTTCTTAGGATTGGTCAAACCTATATAGGTGGGGATTGACACGGGAAGGTGGTGTTGGAACTTTAATCCTAGGATTAAGATTTTCATATCAAAATGTCCATTCCCACTCCTAATCCCACGTTCACACCTAATCCTATTTCCATTCCAGATCCATAAAATTGAGACCCACGTACCAAACATGACCTATATTTACTTCCTCTGGTATTATTTAATATATGAGACCTTACACATCACGTTTTTTGACACCAGGTTCCTTATTTCTTTCACTCTTGGCTTATATAATGGCTTCGATTGACTAAGAACAACTTTGGAAAGTTGTAAAAATCTTTGACACTTAACTAAATTGAACTAATTTTCTTGATTGTCAAGATCTTGTAATTAAAAGAAAGGATCAGAGGATGTAATGAACTCCGGTCCCTAACATAGGAGTTAGTTAATTAGGATTAGATTTGGTCCACTTTATTTCCCACTTTTATCATTTTTTTAAAACTAATTTACTTATCTTATAAATTGATATAAAATCTAACATTATTCAGGGGTATTTTAGGGAGATCAGGTCAAATTTATTATAATTAACTAATTTATCTAAAACTTTTCAATATATCTTATATTAAGAACCAAAAGAAACACTGTCTTATTAGGACCTATTTATACCAAACAATTTATAGTTAAAAATACCTGGATTCGAAGGTAGTTCTGTGGTTGAAGTTTGAAGGTTGAGTTAATGCGATATTCATTCATGGTTGAAGATGCAGCTTCAATCATAGTTAAATTGCTCTTCTCCCAATCGGCAGCAGTCCAAGTGCGATTAGCATCAAAACCCGGGGAAGTAGTGTTTGTATTTCCAGTTCCAACGGATAGCAAAATGATTTCTCTATTCTTGTATTCTTCTTGTCGTAACACCTCATTGATAGCAAGATTTGCCTGCAATATTATAGTTAAATAACTGAACTTTTCATAACCTATTTATAGATCGGCTCTATCAAATATTAATCTTTTATTGTATACACATATATCGGATATTGATTATTAATCTTTTAATAGTGATTTACATACATGTATGATGTATGTATTTGATACACGTGTGTATGCATACATATATATAGGGTTAATATGCATCCAATTCTAAAATATCTTATGGTTCATCTACTAACTTGAAGTATTCTTTTAGGTACATCTAGCACCTTAAAGTATTTTGTGGTGCAATTTTGCCTGGGTAATTTAGAGCACTGGATGAATTTCAAAATGTTTTAGGGTGTTAGACACGTTTACTTCAAGGTGCTGGATTAACCTTAACCCTGTAATTTTATATATGGTGTACAGACAGAGAGGGAGGGGGAGAGAGAGAGCTTAAATTACCGGCATAGGTGCGATGAAAACGCCATCAACGAGATTAAATTCAGTATTTTGGTACTTGAAATAATAGGGCGGAAACAGTCGCGGTGCCGCTGAGGTTCCAATACATGCGTCGGACAGTTTGACGTTTAAGTGAGGAACATCCTTTATCTGCATCATTATATATATATATATATATATATATATAGAGTTAATTTAATGGCCAGTCTCAATAGGATTAATTCATTCAATAGGAACAGAAAAATGTGTGTGTGTATATATATCTCTCTCTCTCAACCTTGAAGCTTGAGAATATAGTTGGCTGAAGAAGCTTGATGTCGAAGGCAGAAATGACAACATTTGTGGCTGTCTGGTTTATCAGTGTTTCACCCAACATCTCGGCTGCTATTTGTCGTAAATACTTCCCGTCAAACACTGGACACGACCCATTAAGGACGCTGTCGTCAAGAAACAAATATATAGTTATATCATTTTAATACTGATGCTTTCAACTAAACATATTACATATAAATTACTTTCAATAGCACGTGTTTAAGGCAGATGGAAGAGGCTTGATTCCCCTAAAGATTCGAATCTTTATATGCAACCTATTAATATACTACCTTTAGTTCTTAATATATGAGTTAGTCGACTAATTTGTGTAGATTAAAAAAATTAGTTAAGTTAGTTATTTGGAATAAATAGATGTTATCTTTTCTAAAATACCTTTGCTAATTATGTATATTAGCTAGAACTATCATGGGATGAAACCTTTAACATCTGCAACTATTATAAAGACTATTTTGAAATAAATAAATAAATATGAGAAACAAAATGGATTGAGATCTCATATTTAAGACCAAATTAAAAATAAAACTAGCTCTTATATTAAGGATTAGATGTAATATAATCAACATGTTTGACTAATTATCTGAAAACCTTAAAAAAAAAAAAAAGGTAAATAGCTTTCAACACCTTGATGTTATTACAACACTTTAACGTTGAGGAAAATTGACATAAATCCCTCATTACAAATTTAATGGACAAATGGTCCCTAGGATGATTGATTTCACCTGAAAAGTTTAGTTACACATAAAGGAAGGTAAGTTACACAAGGAGAAGATGGTTTGCACAAAACATTATTTGGATATAAGGGAGTTTGCACATAGGGAAGACGACTTGTATATAAGATAATTTTATTTGTACAAAAAAATTGAGTTACATATCGTACAAAAGAATATTATTGCATATAAAGGAAGATAAATTGCATACAAAAAAAGGTTAGTTGCATACAATAAAAGTGAAGTTACACAAAGTTTCTAGGTTCTATTTGTTAATTAATTTTTCAATGAGGGATTTATCCCCAATTTTCTCTTGTTGTTATTACCTGTTAGTATCCACCACCCTCACCTTATTTATGGTACCTCCACCACCCTATATCATTTTTTTGGTGCATCAAAATCCGGTGATGTTATTTTAGTTACATCTAACACCCTAACCTTATTTATAATCTTATTTGTTGTTTAATGTATTGGATGCGCTATAAAGAATAAAATTAGGATGCTGGAAGCACTAGAAAAATAAAATCTGGATGCTGGATGTACCATAACAAATATTAGGGTACTAGATTCAATTTAAAAAAAATATCAGAGTATTAGATGATACTTTACCTAAACAAAAATAATCTGAGAGGAGCCACTTCCAATTAAAATTAAACTAACAATACTCACATCTAACCTAATAATAATGGATTTCAAATAGTGGTATAAAAAATTACTTTTTAAGAACAATTAAGCATGTCTGGAAACCATCACAGTTTCTACAATCAAATTATTTGAATAAGGACCAATTACTCTTATAATCTGTTTTGATGGTCTCTAACTAAAAGATAAGCCTACACATACCAAGAGAAGTTTAGAGTGAAGATGGAAGGACCATGCTCTTTGTAAAACTTGACAATTTCATCAGCAGCATAGAGAGGGCGGTCCTTGTTTTGAGGGTCAGGGGCAGTGAGAAGTGCAGTTATAAGCCCTCCAGTGCTGGTCCCAGCAACCACATCAAAATACTCTCCTATTCTTGCATTTGGGTCCCTTTTCTGAATTTCTCACTCAAACATAGATGTTGTTACTATTGTTCTTCATTTTTTAGTATGTTAAATATATAGAGAATCATATATACATTTTAAAAAAAACTTATTGTTTATGCAAATATGCACTTCTTTGTTTCCCCCCATAATCAAAAATAAATAAACTTCTCTTGAATATTGTTGAAATCTTGCAAATTTCCCTTTATTTTCGACATATACATGGATCTCTCCTTGAGTAGATGTGAAATGATTAATGCTTCTGACTTTTGTTGAAATTTCTTGGACATATATATTCTCTATAATTTGAAATATATACCCGGACATAATAAATACCTGGAGGTCAGCTTCAAGTTGTTGAAGGATAACCCCTGGGAGAATCCCTTTAATACCTCCTCCATCAATGGCAAGGACTCTGACTTTTGCTGCATTATCTTCCACAGCCATGAGTTGATTGAAGAATGCAACAAGTAACAGAAGGAACACAACTATTTTTGACATGTTTAGGGTTTGAGAGAAACAAACAGCTTAGAAGAGGCTTCTAATATCGTAAGAGATAAGAGATGAGTTCGTAACTTGAGCGGTCTTCGTTAATGAGCTAGGGTTTATATAGAAATTTGATCAAGACGAGACAAAATATTAAGGCTAAAATATTTTTAAAAAACCCTAAATTTTATATCATATGTAATTAACCTCTCCAACCTTTAAAATTATATAACACACCTCCCTGAACTTTTACATTTATGCACAAAGTCTTCATGTTATTAGTTTTATTCATTATTTATCTGTAAATGACTTAAAATTTAAATGGTTTATCTAAATAAAACTCAGTTTGAGGCGGTTATAGGTACAAAAATAATGTTTAAGGGGTATAAAATAGATAGCTTGGGATTATTTGCATAAATTTAAAAGTTCAGAAAGATTTATATAATTTAGAAAATATTAATAACGCAGAGGCCAGACGAAAATTGAACACATGCTACGTGTGATTGGGTTAAAGATCAAATACAAACGTATCATTTAGTAATGGTCCTTTAATGGTCCATTTTAGTGCTCCATGAGTGCATAATATGTTTGTACAAAACTCAATATTTATTTTCCCTATTTCATCATTCTTCTGATCAGCAATTTTACATATCTTTTGCAGTTTAAAAATTATAACGAACCTTTTTTATATGGATGAATTGAATCTTATAATTTACGTGTAACAAGAAATTAAAGCATCCGTGCATTTACCGTAATTATGGATAAATATAAAGTTGAAAAAAAGTTCGAAGTTCTTTCATTTCACCCATACAAATCAGGGATTCATACTTAATTGCGGATTGATGCGTGTGTGACGCAATAAAACTCATATGATACACGTGATTGAGTTTAAGAACCCCTACAATTAAGTAATATATAGAAATTTGATGAAGATTAGACAAAATATTAGTTACACATCAGCCAATTGGAAATAGAACATATCATACACGTGATTGAGTTTAAGAACGCATATATCACTGCAAAAAAAAAAAAAGACTTTTGGCGACAACTTTCAGTGGCGACAATAAAAAGTCGCTGCTGAAAGTCTTTCAGCGGCGACACTAAAAGGTCGCCACCAAAAGTAAGACTTTCATGATGACGAAAGTCCAAGAGTCATCACTGAAAGGTATACTTTCAGCAACGACTATTAGTGTCGCCGCTGAAGGTCCGACTTTCAACGGCGACTTTCTAATGTCGCCATTGAAAGTATAATCTAATAATATATATTTTATCTTACAATGATAATAAACAAATTCAACCCAATTCAACAACAAGAAGATTGGACATGGAAGGAGGTGGTTATGAGTTCGAGCCTTGAAAAAGACACATTTAAGGTGAAAATATTTGGACAGTGACGTGACAAGGGGGTGATGTGGCATGAGAGTGGTGATGTGGCAACGACGTGGAGGTGGTTGACGATGACATGGTTCTAGTGTGGCTAGTGATGACGTGATGTCGACAGTGATGACATGGCATCATTAAAGCCAATTTTTTTAAGCATCATTTTCAGCAAGGACAAAAAAATCGCCGCTGAAAGTCACTTTTATCGGCAATAAAAGTTCTTTCAGGCCGCCTAAATTAGCTTTCAGTGGCGATTAATGTCACCGCTAAAACTTCTAAAAGTGGCCATTGAAAGACGAAAGTGTCTTTCAGTGGCAACTTTTGTTGTGGCCGCTAAAAGTTTTCAACCTCGGTCGCTATAGCAACGACTTTTCAGCTACAACTTTTTGTTGCTGTTGAAAGTCAATTTTTTTTGTAGTGATACAAACATACCATTTAATCTAATGGTCCGTGAGTTTATAATATGTTTGTACAAAACTCAAGATTTATTTTTCCCATTTAATCATTCTTTTTGTCAGCAATATTGCTTATTTGAAATTTTGTAATTAGAAAAGTACCTGTGCAGTGCACAATATATATTACTATAATTAAGTATAAATATAGAGTTGAAAAAAAAAAGTTTGAAGCTGATCACTAAGAAACTATATCATTAGTTTTAATTTAATCAATTTTTTCCGGTTATGATTACAGTGCTAGCTTTGAATTATATTTAATGACATGTTTGATTCCGATGGTCGTTGAACTTTGTAATATAAAGAGAATTACATTTGGTAATACTAATTCTCTTACACGGAAATAGATACATTAGGCTCATTATTTCAACATATAAATGTCGATTACAATATAGAGGAGTATGAAAAGAGATACTATATATCTTTGATCCTTAATATAAGACCTAGCTCATTGACTAATTTGGAGAGACTAGAAGTTATTAAATTAAATTATAGCATACATTATATGATCTCTGTAAAATATTTCTGTGTATTATTAGATTATATATTAATTTACAAATGAGACAAATTAGTTAATAATATTAATAAACTATTAATGAAATTCATATTTCAAATTATATTTAAATTTGATTTAAAATTTTAAAGTTAATAATATAAACTGCTAATAATCAATACTTCACTATTATAAGTGATTTTAAAACATTTAATTCAAATGTCAATCACGCAAATAACTCTTGGGACATTGTGTCCGATGAAAACATAGACTAACTCACAAAAAACACATGGAGTTAGAAGGGAAAAAAGAAAAGAAAAAGAAAAAGTAAGGGCATCCACTTTTCTATATAGAACAAAAGTTGATCAAGATGAGACCAGCTATTACTTAAGCATAGGGCAAGTGGAATTTTTTAATTAAAATAAATTTGAAAAATAAATAAACGTTTAACCAATTACTTCGATATACATATAAACAATTTTATGACATTGAATTCACATTTTAATCAAGCGGAAAAAAAAACTAGGGAGATGGTGTGAGAACATTATACACTAATAATTAAATAAAGTAAGGACATCCACCTTATTTGCAAGAAGATTATTTTTTTAACTAGACATAAATAAGAGCTTGCTCCATTTATAAATGCTGGAAATGGACCCTATCATTGATGACGAGTATAGTTTACACGTAAAATTGATCAACATAAGACAAAACTTTGGTTATGCATGCGCCAAATGGAAAAAAATGAACTTAATGCTATGCGTGATTTAGATAAATAACACATACAAACTTAACATTTAAATTAATAGTCCATTTGAGTGGTCGCGAAGTACTCCTCTAGTCCTATTTATAACATGCTTTACACAGACCAAGAAAACCTTAAACTTTATTAACCTTCATTTAAAATTCAACAGCTTTCTAATTTTATTCCTATTTAATTCATATTATACCTCATATAAATAAAGTTAAAATAATAACAAATAAAGGGTAAAATTATACATTCATACAAAAAATTTCTTAGTGCCCTCTAAAGGGGACCAAAAAATATCTTCCATCTCTACCCTATAAATAGGACCAAAGGAATACTTTGTAAGAATAAGACTTTGGTAAAAAAATTAAGTTGAAAAAGAAGCGAGAAACTCATGTATCCTTACAATATTTTTTTTTTTGGGCCGGTGTATCCATGCAATATATTTACTTGTGGGCTAATATTCTTTAAATATGTGTGTGTGAATATCTAATTTCATATGCAATAAATTTGGCACCGTCATTACGTAATGGACGATTAAACCAAAATTCTATATTCCTATATATGTGCTCTTTAACTCGATCATACGAACATATCATAAGTCTATTTTTTTTTTTTGGGTGAAAATATCATAAGTCTAATTTTATTTGGCTTATACTTTACTAATATTATTTTATCTCAACTCGATCATCTTCATATGTAAAATCATACCCCTAGATCGGCATCTTACATCATTAAAAGCCTTATGTAACTTCTATTTTATACGCCAATTGATCAAAAAATGGGTATTTCATTTCCAGCATTTGTAAAGAAAGCAAACTCACATTTATCAAAATGAAACCAAGGCCATATTTCTCTAATTAAAAAAATTAATTTTATGGCAAAATTACGGTAGTCCTTTCTAGATTTAACTACTAGTATATGTTTACCGTATCCCCTAGAGTTATTTGCTTAACTAAATTTGATTTAAATATTATAAAATTTCTTTGAAAAGTTGATTCAAATGTTATAAAATTTCTTTGATATATATGGGAACAAAGTGGTATTCAAAATTGGAGAAAAAAAAGAGTGGTATTGAAAAAAAAATGTCTCTCATCTACTTTCTTTATTCTACTCAATGGGTGTAAAATTGAAAAAAACTTTATTAATTATCTTGCAAGTCACTTATATTTAGAAACAAATTTTTCTTCTACAATTAATTTATATATAAACACTGAGTGCTATAAATAAGAGCTTGGTCCCATGGATTTTGGATCCATTCTTGATGTCCAAAATATTTAAAGAAGTTGTTGGCCAATGTAACGTCACTTGTAGGGAAAAAGTTTTGGTCATAATAGTAGTCACTTATAGTATATTTAATGTTTATTTTTTAATTTTATTCTTATTTAATATTTATTAAAAAGAGAGAGAAAATAATTAAAGAATGGAGATATAAGAATGATTTATAAATGTAGAGAGAGAGAGGTAACTTTAATAAGGATAAAATTAGAAAATTTTATCAATTTAATACATTTCTTGGGGTACGAAAATGTTTCCAAGTAACTTATATACTCCCTCCGTTCCTTATTATAAGAGACAAATAACCGAAGTACGTTGATAAAAAAAACAGTTAAAATTAGTTAAGAACAATTAATGTGTAAAAAGTATAATTTTTTTTCAAAAATGCCCTCATTAATAAGGAGAGAGAGAGCATGAGAGAGAATAATTAAATTATTAAAAGAAAGAGAAGTGAGAGGGAGAAAGAGTGTGAGTTGAAAATAATAAATATGGGTAAAATAGTAAATCAATACAAAAAAGGAGAGACAACTTGTAAGTGTCTCTTATATATAGGAACATGCTATAAGCATCAAATGTCTCTTATAATAACGAACGGAGGGAGTATTAAGAATTAGAGTGATATTAAATTAATAAAGTAATTACTTTAATATCGGTTAAAGTAATTTGACTTAATAAAAGATCATGCGTATCAAATTCCGCATCTTGTCAATGACTAGTTGCA